CAGGTCAGCCGGGGCTGGCGGCGGCGGGCAGGGCGCACCTGTAGCTCCCACTCATGACCACGGCGCAGTCCACCAGGAGGAACTTCTCCTTCACGTGGCCCTTGAAGGACTTCCCTGTGCGGCAGTAGTAGGTGGGGCCCGCCACGGTGCGCACCCGCAGGAACTGGGGCGAGAGAAGGCTGTCAGGCCGAGGGTCTCCCCCTCCCCTGCCCTCCCCCCGCAGACACTGACATCCACGTGGTGCAGGTTAACGCGGCACTTGTCAGCCATGTCCAGGAAGTGCTGTGCGTTCATCTCGTCCAGCAGGATGTAGACTGGGACTCGCCGGGCAGCGGCCTCCAGCACCTCCCCTAGCAGGTCCACATCGGTGAACATGTCCATCACCACGGCCACCACCTGCAGTCAGGACAGGGGCAGAGGGCAGAGCCCGGCTGCTCTCCAGCCACCTTTGCGCCCACACAGCCAGCACCCCTGGGGCGACCTGGGGCTCTGAGGAGGGGACCTGGCTGCTGGCGGGTGGGTGGTGCATGACAGCCGGAGGCACCGGGCCTGCGCCCAGTCCCGTCCAGGGGCGAGCTGGGCCGGGGTGAGCCTTGGGCTCCAGTCCCGCCCCTGGGAGGGCGCAGCCTGGGGCCGGGGGCCTGGGGGTCTGCCCTGCACCCTTGGTCTCCAAGGCTTGCAGGCTCTCTGCCGCTCGCCAGCTGTCCCGCAGGGTAGGAAGCTCTCGGGTGGGTCACAACCGGGGCCGGCGCCCAGCACAGCAGCCAGCCCAGGGCCCTGGCCAGTGGCTGCCAGGGTGGCCAGGGCCGGGGCCAGGCCTGAGCTCTAGCCTGAGGCTGGGGAGCGGCCAGCGGCTCTGGCCACACCGGCACTCCCAGCTGGGTGCTCCCGCCCGACCCCCAGCGCAGGCCCACGCGGTGGCCCTCCCCACTGCCCGGCGCACCTGCTGGGCCGCGCGGATCATCCTCCGGGCCTCGTCCTTGATGCTGGGGCTGTCGGGCGGCGGGGGCTGCACCAGCGTGGTGACCTCAGTGCCCTGGAAGCCAAAGGTGAGGGGCCAGCCCAGGTCCAGCTCTGGCACCGCCTGGTCTGAGTTCATGGGCCAGTAGGTGCCCGAGGAGCCGTCGAAGTCCACCGTGGGCGGGCTGCCTTCCGGGGGCTCTCGGGCCACGTGCTGTGGGGGCCGCAGGTGGCGGCCCACGTGCTCCAGCTCCTCCGGGCACAGGAAGGCGGGCGCCCCCTCGGACGCCAGGAACCGGCTGTAGGCCTCCGGCCCGCCCTCGGCCAGGGCGTCCACCGCCAAGCGATAGTACTCTTTGTAGTGCGGCGGCAGGTACCCGGGCGCCAGCGGGTTGTCCCCCTGCGAGGAGCTCTGGGAGCGACGGGCCATGTTGGGGCCGGGGACCTGGGGAAGGGCACAGGGTGTCATGGGGCCGGAGCCCTGGACACGCCCCCTGGCCCTGTGCAGCTGGTTTGGGGGGCCGGCCAGGATCCAGGAGCCCCTGGCTGGAGGTTCAGGGCGGCCCCCACCAGAGGAGCCTGGCGCTGGGAGCACGTGGGGGCCGGCCCAGGGGCCGCCGGCGGGGGCCCTCCTCCCGCGCCTCCTCGCGGGGTCACTGTGGTGCAGCCCCGGGGCCCTTCCCCCTTAAAGGCGAGCACGTGTGGGCACGTAACACCCACACACGGCTGTGCCGTGAGCAGCACGCGGCCCGGGCTGCACTGGCCTGGCGTGACGCTCAGGTGCTGTCTCGGGCGGCCTGAGAACTGGCCGTGGGCAGGTGGCCACGGGGCGAGCCTGGCGCATGCAGCCCGCAGCTCTGCAGAGCTGAGGTCTGTCCTGCAGGCGGCTCGAAGCTCCACCCATACTGCCCCCGCCAGAGACGCTGGCCACGCACGCCCGGGGGCCTCCCCTCAGCCCACCTGCCCCTCTACTGAGGGGCGCCCCTCCTCTCCGAGGCAGCACTGCCCACGGGCCTTCCTTGCCTCCCGCCCCTGGCCACACCTGCGCTCCAGAGGGAGCCCTTCCGGGCTCTCCACCCGCCCTCGCCCTCGCCCTCGCCCTCGCCCTCGCCCTCGCCTGGCAGTGCGTCTGTGCCCCACCCCAGCCTCCAGGAAGCCGCCCCAGGCCCCTCCGCTGGGCCTGACGCAGGCCGCTGGCCCCGGTTCCACCTGGAGGGAAAGGCTGGGCTCGCGGCTGACATGACTGACATGACGTGGTGTGGCCAGGTGGGGCCGCCGGGTCCTCCACCCGCCAGACACCAGCTGGCAACGGTGCCCGGCGACGCTGTTCTCTGGCCCACATGGGCGGGAGCCATACGGTCCTTGCCAGACTGGGGCAGCCCGGGGGGCGGACGGGGGACGGTTGGCGCAGGCCTGGGAGTACTGTCCTGCTGACCTCCTCTGAGGAGCAAAGCCCAGGGCAGGGCCCGAGCCGCGTGGCTGGGACCGGTGGCCTGACTGCCCAGTGGCCCAAGGAGCCTGCGGAGCCACCCGGAGCCGAGTGGCCAGGCCGGCCTGGCGCTCCCAGGGGCAGCTGCCCTCATCTAGGCGGCTCTTCCCCCTGGGGAGGGAGGGACTCTATCCCACCCAGGCAGTGACGCAGCAGGGCGCTCTCCTGCGCTGACCTCTGACCCCTGACCCCGAAGCCACCCTCAGGGCTCTAGTGGACCCTGACCGGCCTTCCAGCCGGGCGCTGCCAGCGCGGAGGTGGGTTCCAGGGGCCCGAGGAGGATCGCGTGGGCGGGATCTGGGACTTGTGCACCCCGGTGACCCAGCCAAGTAGGCTGCGGAGCGCGAGGTGCACGGGCTCAGGCGCCCGAGCGGTGGGCCAGGAGCTGAGAGGGGCCTGTGGTTTGTGGGGGTCAGCAGGGAGGCAGCGCCCCGGGAGGTGTCGGGCTGGCCGGCACCTCCTGTTCCGGGCGACCGTCCCCGCTCCCAGGCCGCTCTGGGGCCAAGCCTGCCCAGGAGGCCGCCGCCACCCCCACCCCAACCCCGGTCTGCGGTGGGGGGGCCCCGAAGGGTCCAGCTGGGGCCCAGCTCCTTTC